GAATTAAAGTTGCATAAAAGAGAGAGGATTGATGGCTTCCCGTTTAGAGGTGGAGGATGAAATGTCAGCCTTGGCAAGTGGTGAGAGGCCTCCTGGGATGAGGAGAAGGGGAATGACTCTGCGAAGACTGCAGGCTGGGGAAGGGGAGGACATGGCGGCTGTGGGGGATTATAGTGGCTGCGTCAAATCGAGGTCACCAGCGAGACCTAAGAGCAGAGGCTTCGGCTCTGCCACGGTGAGGAGTGGGAGTGAGAACTTCATGAGTACTTTGTTGCCAGCAATTTCCTTGCCCTAATAAATGTTCTTAATTTTTCATAATTGAAGGAGAAGGCACCAGAGGTCAGTTGATGAAGCTTTAATTTGGGTAACAAGGCAGGGAAGCAACTAGAAACCAATTACTGTGTCATTTACACAAACTCCATGATTAACTCAGAAGGCAAGCAGGGCTGGAGTTCCCACAGGACAGGGACAGCTCCCAGGAAGGCAGCCCTGCCCTGAGGCTGCTCCTTGGGAAAGAACACAGGGCTTTCATGGCCACAGGAGACTGAACCCCAAGGGCTTCTGCAATGAAGGGGCATGGCCCTGCTCTGTCCTGAGGCACCAGCCCAACCAGTCCTTGAGCCCCAAAAAACAGAACTCAAAGGGGGCCCTGCAAAACGTGGCTGCCTCCTCATTGCTGCTTCTCCCAAGCCAGCTTTGCCTTTGACTTCTGGGCTCTCTGAAGCCAGTCCTTTCCCCTCAGGGCCTCTATATCTCCGAGTGTAAGATTAGTTATCAGACTAAGTGAACTTCAAGGAGCCTTCCAACACCAACATTCTGCGTCTATAAAAGCCAGCTGTCCCTTCTCTGGTCTTGCTGGAAACGGTCAACCCAATATACTCAGAGAATGTACATTTCCTTTGACCCTGCACTCAGCCCTGTGGAAACACACGAGGCTGCGGGGTGTTCTCTACCCGTAGAGACCAGGTGTATACACATGGGATATTGATGAACAGGTTACTGGGTCTTGGGGTCTTACAACAGTGCATGATTTAGAGAAGGAAGGTGAGAGACTGGAGTCATTGTTAGGGGGTGGGTCTCAGAGTGGAGCAGGATGGGGGGCCCAACCCAAGATCAAGGCTTGGCTGAACCTCTAACTTACTGTGTTGCTTTGGACACTGGGTCCCCGTCTCTGGTCCTCCAGAGAGGGCTGGGCTTGAAAGACTCCTGAGGTTCCCCTGGCTTCTAGTAAGATGGAAAATGCCAGGGAAGGTTCACAGACAGGGATGAATACACCGGTGTGTGGGTGCAGAGTATGGTGATGAGACTGGCTGGAATAGAGTGGAAGTGAGTGAGGTGAGGTGGGACTCCAGGCTGGAGAAACCAGCAGGGCTGGGTCATGATTGGCCCAGACACTTGATTAAGGCATAAGAAATATAAGGATTGGATAGTCTAGACTTAAGGGAGGATCACCACCAGCACTTTAGGCCTCTCTATTGCCTGTTATTCTTGGCTACTCTAGAAAGTCTCCTGAGAGCCTTGTGTAAGAAGCTGGAAAATCACGGGGGAAAGAGATGAAAGTAGGGAGGAAAACAGGTTGCAGGCCGATGCGTGATAGAGCCACGTGGTGACCTCTGTTCTGTCTCCTCCCGTCCAGGCATGTGGGGCCTAGTGAACAATGTGGGCGTCTTGTTGTTCGGGGATACGGAGTTCACCAGCATGGAGACCTACAAGGAGGCAGCAGATGTAAACCTCTGGGGCACAGTGCGGACAACAAAAGCCTTCTTCCCCTTCATCCGAAGGGCCAAAGGTGAATTGGAAAGGGACTTTCCTCCTGCCCCCTGTTCTGCCTCACTTTTTCATCTTTGCTCAGAATGGAAATAGGTCTCAGCAGATCCACCATTCACAGCCCAGCGAGGCTGAGCCATGCGGGGCCCGTGAATGGTGGTGAGCAGAGGTGCTGTGGCCCGGTGGGCGGAAAGGGATGTATGATTTTCAGAAAGTAAAGTAGGCAACAGGTCAGCCATCTATGCAGCAAAGGCCAAAAGATTACAGCAATAATCTCACTCTGGGAACCTAAGGTAGAGAAATAACCACTCTTGTGCCCAGAGTTGTGTGTACACATTATGGTATCAATAGGAATGTGGTTAAGTAAATCTGGCATATCCATTTCTCAGGTTACTATGCCATAGTTTAAAAATGAGACAACTGTGGTAGTAAGTAAAAAAATAAGAATAATTGAGATTAGAAATTTGGAAAACAGACAAAAACGGACATCCAAACCACCGTAGCTAGTCAAATGTAAGCAAAAGCAAACCACCTAAGAAGTCACTGACTCACATTTTCTCCCTGGAAGAGCAAACAAATCTGGCAAAAGGGGCAAGATCCATATGATCTATCCAAAGGTCCCAGCAATGACAGGATAAACCCAGGGAGTGCTCTAGGATTCTAGAAGAAAACCCCAACCCTTCATTGACTTCCAACTTAGAGGTTTCCAAAAGGTGCCCACAGTGCCTAGGATGTGGCTGTGCCTTCACTCTGGGTGCACGACCAGCATAAGTGGATCTCTGGTCTGCCTGGGCTGTCAGATGGGCTCCACCTCCACTCCCACTACTGCCCCCAGGGCTGGAAGAAGCTGTGGTCTGCTCCTAGCACCCCCAGGCTGGGCCTGTGAGAGAGTCTCTCGAGGCCACCACTCTCTCCCAGTGCCTGAGACTGCCCATGTGTCCTAGTCCCGAAGTCAGATTCAGAACCCTGCCCCTACCCCTCTCCCTACCTACTTGCAGACAGAGCGCTGCTAGATGATAACAATTTAGGATGAAAATGAAATGGGAGAATGTGGGAGGCAAGACACAGCTTAGTTGTGTGTTGTGCATTATACTCTTCTCTCCTGGTATGAAGACCTGCTCCTCACTCATTTCTCCTCCCCTGTCCTGCATGGCACAACTGGCTACCTAGGAAATATAGGGGATGCTGATGCTGATGTGTGGGCTAAGCTGGCCTTGACTACCAATGAGAAAGCCTCCTGACCCTGGGTGGTTCAGAAGGCCAGGCCCCAGCCTGGCAGGCAGCAAAACAGGTGTCGGAGGCCAGGGTTCTAGCCAGCATTCTGGAAACATGCCAGGCCTCAGAACCTCTGCCCGACCAGGCAGTGCCTTCTGAGCAGGTACTTGCTGTCTTCCTCTGTAGGCCATATTGTCAACATCAGTAGCTTGCTGGGCCAAGTGGTCATCCCAGCCCACTCCTCATACTGCATCTCCAAGTTTGGAGTGGAGGCTTTCTCTGATTGCCTGCGCTACAAGATGCACCCTCTGGGTGTGAAGGTCAGCGTGGTAGAACCTAGCAACTACATCGCTGCCACCAGCATCTGTGGCCCCAAGCGCATCCAGGCCATTGCCAATAAGATGTGGGATGAGCTGCCAGAGGTGGTGCGTAAGGACTACGGCAAGAAGTACTTTGATGAGAAGATCGCCGTCATGGAGACCTACTGCATCAGAGGCTCCGCAGACACATCCCCCGTCATCAACGCTGTCACCCACGCCCTGACTGCTGCCACCCCCTATGCCCGCTACTACCCTATGGATTGCTCCTCGTGGCTGTGAATGCAGATCATGACCCACTTGCCTGGGGCAATCTCCGACAGGATCTACATATGCTGAAGAGTTTTGGGGACCTGGCCTCTCTTGGGAGCCCTGGTGGGCAGGAAGAAGGAGAGGGAGGCTGGAGGCGAGGGAGGGAGGGAAACATTTGTATAGTTGCCTCTTGATAATCCACTTGCGGATTATCCACCTTCCCACTACCAGTTTTCGTGTTAAGCAGAGGGGCTAACCCAGCCTAGCTTGTATGCACAGTGAGTGTCGGGGTGTGGCATGGTGGACAGGGCCCCTAAACCTCAGGGCAAATATGATGCATCTGTCTTTCTGGAGTTGATTTCCTACAAAGATTTGGAGGAAACATCTTTATATTAAAAAACAGATTTATTATAAAATAGAATTCAAGTTCTTTATATTTTTAAACTAAAACATCAGTTCAAAAAAATTTCTCATTTGATTCTTAAGCCAGCCTCATGAGGAAAAAACAGGTATTTTTTTCTTTTGTTCACAAAGAATCTATAACCTAAAGAGGATACATAAATACTCCTTTTATTGCTTATAAATGGTCCAAGTCATGTGCTCCTATCACTGCTGTAAAAACACTTCACATCTTGTGTCCTAGGGCTGCTCTGGAGACTCCTCTGAGAGCTCTGTGACATCACCTGAGCCTTATGTACCATGTGCCCACTGTACACCTCTTTGCATGTCCATTGTGCTGGTGTGTGTGGCCTCAACCAGTAATTCAGAACTGTGTGGAGTGGGTGGAGAAATTCTGGAGATTTCCGTTTGAGATTTCTCCAACCTCTCTTGAGACTTAGGACAAATCTTTGGAGTTGATTTCATACAAAGATGTTTTATATAAGAAACATCTCTTTGCTCTTTGGCTAAAAGGGCGATTTGTCTCTGGTTTGGGTCTGCTTGGTTTTGTCTGAGGCGGGACCCCTGTTAATGGGGCATCCTTGGCAAGAACTGTGGTGCAAAGGCCTGGCACTGTCCACCTTCTCCCCCAGGCATAAGTCTAGGTTCTCTGTCTTACGTGTTGTGCGCACGTGTGTGCACACACACACACATACACACATCACACACACACACACACGCACTCTCTCTCTCTCTTACTCTCTCTCTCTCTCTCACTCTCTTACACATACACATCTGTTCTGTAGGGTTCAGGGTAGCCTTCTCTCTCTCTCTCTCTCCCTCTCTCTCTCTCTCACTATCTTACACATACACCTCTGTTCTGTAGGGTTCAGGGTAGCCTTCATTGATGGCTCACCTTCTTATTGTGGCCTTATTTTTCATTAAGGAGCCAGGTCACTGGTAGGCAAAGCATATGTCATCACCTCGAGTTTGGGTTTAAAGGCTGCCTCCTTGAAATTGCCCAGGGCCTGGATGTTTGGATCAAAACCAGGTACCACCCTCCTCCAGGTGGCTGCAGGCCTAGGACAGGATTCTGAGTGCCTGCCCCACAAATCAAACTAGCACTTCCGTCTCTCCCGGTAAGGGCCAGGCTGTCCGCTAGAGGGCGCGCTGCCCCCGCAGCCGGAGCGGCCTCTGCTCCCGACTGGGAGCTTCCATCCAGGCCCGAGGTCTCTCACAGGGTACTGTGATCCCTGCTTTGGAAACTGCCCGGGCACTAAGACGCAAGGCCCTTTAGAAACAGCGTTCCTGCTGCTCTAGTAGCTCCTGGCTAAATTAAACGTGGATCCTAGCAGCAGAAGGCGATGGAACCTAGGCAACTGGAACTGACCGTGTGGTTCAGGCAGTGACAAGGAGAAGGAGGTCTCACAAGGAACAGATTCACCCTGCCGTTTGGGCCTTTGTCCCCTCTGTCTTAAGTAAGGAGTACCCTGTACCAGCTCCCTCCTGTAGGGTGTGCGGAGAGGGCCGGCGTGGACAACTGGTAGGCAGGCAGGGCTGAAACCTTCTGGATCTCAGAGAGGGGCATCTGATGGCCATCATGTGTGCCTAACAATAAGATCCTTTTGTATCACAGAGTTTATCTTTCAAAGTCGCATTTTTACATGTTGGGAGATTTTTGTTTTCATGCTTAATTTTATTAAAGGAAAATGAATGGAATACTGGTTACACTCGTGCATGTATAGCTGAGAACTAGCAGGAAAGGGAGACGGTTACATACTTGGGGCCAGGACCAGTAGTAAATTAAACACTGGAGAAGCTGCAACCTGCTGGGGTCATCAGGAGTAAGACAGGATTGCTAGGCTGGCCTGCAGGATGCCCCGATTTTTAATTTTTATCCCCATGATTGAAAAGCCCAGAGTATCTCCCCTCCAGATAATCTCAATGCTAACTAAATAAAACCTCACATTTACCATTTACTTTCTGGCACCTTAGAGCCTACTGAGGGTTTTGATCCTTACAAGAGCCAGCTGAGGTAGGCAGAACAGAGATTGTCGTTCCCATTTTACAGATGACATAACTGAGACCCAGGAGGGAAAGTGACCCATCTAGCATCACAGTGGATCTGGGCAGACTCAGCACCAGCACGAAAGTCGCTTGAGTGGTGCTGTTCACCATCACCTCACCTTGTGGCCCCAACGGCCCCGGGAACTAGGTGGGTCAGGGTCACCAAGCACCTTGCTATTGGCAGAGAGCTGTTCCTTCTTGTGGGAGTTAGGGGAGAGAGGGGGCCTTCCAGAGGCTGCTACCCGGCTGTCACTGTCCAGGCATGCTGAGGGCAAATGGCATCCATAGGTAGTAGGAACACTGTCTCCAGCGTCCGCCCCCTTAGAAGGATTTGCTGGATCATTGAGGCTTAAAGATGCTTCTCCTGCCGTCTCAGGCCTGCAGTGCTGGCCTGGGCCCCTTGAGTACGCTCCTACCTCCCAAGCAGCAGGTACTGGTCAGCAGGGCTCTGGGCCAGGAACCAAACTTTCATGATCTCACTTTATCTTTCCCAGGGCCTGTGAGGTGGGGAGAGAGTCCAGCATCTGCTGCCAGTCCTGCTCTGCCAACCCTGTGGTGTGACCTTCAGCAAGTGGCTCTCAGTTCAGGGCCTCAGGTGGTGCCTCAGGTGAGAGTAGAGAAAGCATGCAGACAAAGCCTAGGACTGGGAGGGGCGTCAGGTGAGGCTCAGCCTGCACCCGGGACTTCTCCCAGTAGTACTTGTGTCTGTGGGACCTATGGTCTACTGCCTTCAGCTAGCACAAACCCTCTCTTAATGGCTGGAGTCCCAGCAAGGGCTTTTTTGCAAAATGCTCCTGAGAGTGCCTTGTTATAGAGCACATGCTGTGTTTAACATTCCACCAGGGCCAAGAGGCACTGTGAGCAGGTGACAGGCCGGCCTGGCCCTGCCCGCTGCAAGCTGCTCAGGCTATGCCTCTAATGCCCACAGCAGGAGGTCTGCCAAAGACTCCCCACTTGTGAGGCCTGTTCATTTTCTATATTTCGAATAGGGCTGGGCTCTGCAAAGTTGTGCAGACCTGTTCTGGTGCAGGTGTAGATGTGAGCAAGCAGAGGCTTCCCCGGCTTGGGTGGTGCCAGGCTCGGGCTGCTAGGTAACAACTGTACACTCTGGGCACATTACACAGCCAGTTCACCCCTTCCTCTCCCATGATTCTCACAGCAGCCTGCTTGATAGGCAGGGTGGGGTTAGTATTTCATTTTACGTGTAAGGAAACACTACCCCAAGACTCGCCAAGTGAGGGATAGAGCCAGGCAGCCAAGCCAGATCTAACCTCCAGCCCGGAGCTAGTGATGCATGAAAAGCAGGGCAGATGGTACCGGGATCTAAAATAAGGAGGGAAAAAAATACCTCAATTATGTAACAGTAAGTAAAACCTGTAAGCACGTGCACAATAACAACCACAAAGTGCTGCCGCATGAGCCAGCTTCCCTTAGGAAATCTGCCTTGACTGGGCTAACACTAACCCCTGTCAGGGGCATTTCTGAGGGCATGCTCTAGAACAGGGGTCCCCAACCCTCAGGCCGCAGACAAGTACTGGTCTATGGCCTGTTAGGAACCGGGTCACACAGCAGGAGGTGAGCAGCAGGTGAGGGAGTGAAGCTTCATCTGTATTTGCAGCCGCTCCCCAGCGCTAGCATCACCACCTCAGCTCCACCTCAGATCATCAGGCATTAGGTTTCCATAGGGGCACTGGTCCCTGGTGCCAAATAATTGGGGACCGCTGCTCTAGAACACCAAAACCCACACCTTGGACAGAGATTCTGGAGCTGTCCTCAAAGGGCTTGAGGGATGTATGAGCACAGGGCTTGTGAATCCTCAGGTGCAGAGATAGGACAAGGAGGGCTGTGGCGCTCTGTGTTCTTGTGAGGCCAAACAAACCCAGAGCATCATAAGGCCTTCTTGGTCTGTGTAGGCTCTGAAGAAGGTGGTTTCTGAGTGGCAGCTTCAGAGGTATAGGATAAGCATCTGCTGGGCCAGGAAGCAGGGACTAGGGCTGGAAGAGGATGCCAGGACCCCCAGAACCTCAGAGAAGGAAAGAGGACTCAGCTGTCATCAAGCCTGAGACTCAGCCTTGAGATGGGAGCTGATCAGGCCTTGAAGCCCTCTACTGACAGAGAACTCATTACTTTCTAAGAGAGCATTTCCTCAGGGAAAATTTATCCAAAGACTCAGCTGAAATCGACCACCTCTAACTTAACTCTTTTGGTGCTTGGTGTGACTCAGAACCACACAGAACAGTTTAGATCTTCTCAACTAGCCCACTGGGTTTTTGGAAATGGCCACGTCAGATTCAAGAGTCCAGGTCCCTCATTCGACAGGTTTCCATACTCCTCATGTCTGAAAGAAAGTTTCAGCTGTGGTTATCCCAGCCTTCATCTTTGATAATACGCACCAGGCTGAATGACCACCTGAGTCCCTTCAAGCCGCCAAGAACTTTGAGACAGGTTTTAATACTTTTAGGGAGATGCTCACCACTTCTCACACGCACGTGCCCCCTCACAACTAAGTGTGCGCACAATTTCCCTCTCATCTGATCTTCGTAAACAGCTTATGAGTGGGGCAGGCCCGTAGTCCCATTTTAGAGATAAGGCAACTGAGCCTCAGGGAAATGAAGCAATTTGCCTGAGGTCACAGAGCCAGA